GTTCCTGACAACTGAATGGGAAATCACCCTTTTTATTCTAGGAATATAGCTATTTTGTCGTCTTTAACTTCACATTAATCATACTTACTGTGAATCTGAGGGCAGATTGAATCAGGTCTTGCCATTCAATACTTTCTGAAAGATAGCAGTGGTTTCCATATTCAAAACAAACAAAAATAGCAATATTTTAAAAATTTAAATATATATATCCTAGGTGGTGAAATCATTTAAGAAAAAAAAAGAAAAAGAAAAAAAGAAAAAGGATAACACAAAAGTATTATTTTAATAACAATAGTTTTATTTTATGCAGGATGTTTCATAAAATTTTGTTGGGACAGTGTATGTACTAGAACTGCTCAGGCACAGAAATCTACTCAGATCTAAGACCATACATGTTGAAAGCCAAATTCACCCCACTTCATTTGAAGCCTTTCAGTGGGCATCTAAAGTAAGGGTTGAGTCACCCTTGGCTGTTGAGAATTTAAAAAGGGGTAAGCAATGTCTGATTTGCCTTTAAAGGCAACACTCACTTTCCACTGATTCTAGAGTGACAATGCTCCTTATTTAGGTGTGAAAGTAATATTACCTAATGTGAGCTAGACAAATTCAGGTCATGTTCTTAAGCACAACAATATCTTTCTCAGTAAAGACAGTAAACTAAATGTTGAATTTATACCAGCATACATGAAGAACCTTTCAGAAATTATTCTGTGTTAGACAGGTGTAAGTTAAATCAGACTGTCTTCATTCTCCTAAATCACATAAATCTCTCAGAATACTGTCATATTAAAAGATGTATAGTTTAATTTAATAGAGTATCATTTCAGTAATGTGAAAGAGCAGTTTCCCATTATTAGTTTTTTTTCTGAGGGAGTGCAAGATTATCCATTCACATCCTTTATGGGAACAGTGTAGATCATGATTCAGCAAATTTCTCTTCACTAAAGAAAATCAAAGTAATGATATTTGAAATTGTGCTTTATACATTATTTTTAATATGTTTGTTTCATCACTTCCTTTTATGAGTTTATAAATTTAAGAGACAGCCTAAAGGTAGCTTTGACTATGGTTACAGAGCAATTTCTATTTTTTTTACACCATTAAAATGCATTTCATTTTTTCATCAAATAACAAGAACAATAATCTTTCATGATCATTTGAGCTATTTACTTCCTATAATTTCTGCTGTTTCGGAATATGCAAGCAAAGCAGATGGTAATAGTTTGATGATACTACACGATAAATAGTATTTTGGCCTTGTTGAAATCAATGGTGCAATATTCATTGAGTTCAGCAAGGAACCGTTCCACTTACAGCCCAGTTCTGAACAGTTCACAATTTAGGGATTCTCCATGATATTCCACAATGATATTCAATGAAATGGAATTTCAGACTATAAGAGTTTCCAGACAGACTCCTCGCTTGGAAACAGCCCATTCATGGAGAGATTTAAACAAAGGTTTGAGTCAGAACCAAATCTAAAAGGGAGTCTGGAGAAAGGAAGAAAAGATTATAATGCCCTGATCATAGAAGTGTTAAAATCCAGTACTTGTCCTCTTGAAGAAAATAATTTTATGTGCAATTAAAAAGAAATAATCTTAATAAATTACTTCTAAGTCACCTAAATAAATATCATAGTTTCTAATTATGAAAGATTGCAATATACGGGCCACGCACAAAAGGGCTAATTTTTGTAACTTATGGAAATACTGAGGTAACATATTTTTACCCTTAATCTTCAACAGTGCACTTTAGATGTTTTCAGCAAATGCAGTATTATATTCTAGATTATGCATTCCTCAAATAAATAGTGTCTCTAAGACTAATAATGGAAATAACTGACTCTCGGCAGAGCCAGGACTAGCAGTCTTATCATTAAGTTTCAACAGCCAGTGAAATCATTTTTACGGTTAAAAAAATAAATCTCATCCATGACTGCAGCTTTACAAATCAGTTACCAATATCTTTATAAAACCAGAAGTCAGTTTTTTGTTTGATTTGCATTCTAACGCTTACCAGAATACTATTACACTGTCAAATCGTGTTGTGTCATACATTATACACAAAATTCAGGATCTTGTACAGAAATTCAACTCTGGATCTGGCAAACTACCTATTCAAACATAAATTTGACTCTTACTGACTTTGGTCAAGTGGTCATGTAACTTATCATCTAAAACACAACAAAACAATTATTTGACTGAAAATTGGAGATTTGCCATACCTTAGGCACTCTCACTCTGTTGTTTTCAAATACACTGCTTTTCCTTTTACATAATTTGAGCATAATGATCATAATACATTTGCCCTCACAACAAGATCTAAAAATAAAGAACATAGTTCTCTTCTACCTTTCCACATCTGTGTAAGGAACACTCAATGCACAGAAATCTGAATAATAGATTATGCATTCTTTGAACTGGGAAAGTATAGTAACAGCAAAGAAATAGCTCCTAAATCTTGAAAATAATTAATGACAGCAATGATGCTATTATGAACATTAGCGCGTGGGATAACCTGTCTTCCAAAACCAGCACAGATGATACTCCCAACAGATGATTCCATCCATCCTAACTCCTCAAAAACAAAAAATTGGTTTATAGGCTATTGTGGCATTCCATATGGCAATTTTAGGAAGGGATTTAAAGGTCTTTCTACTTCCACAAATACACAGTCAGTCTTGAATCTTACCTCCAGCTTCCCTAAAATATCTGACAGATAATATTTTTTTAATTTGTTCTGGTTCTAGTGTAAATCCTGGAAATAGAAGGCAAATGCTGAAACTTATTCTGTCAAGTACGGATGTCCACACTTTAAAAAAAAAAAACAAACTATGATCAAAGATGGCTTCAGAGAGAAGCCAGTTTGAGAGGATGATACTTGGAAACCAAAGTCTCACTAACATGTTGGTGTATATTAACTCGTTTAATATTTCTTTTAACATGGCATTCCACCTAGCCAGGGGAAAAAACTAGGGCTGAAGGGGGAAAAATCAATTACTGCTAGTAAATGACAGCTAAGTTATGGTTAGTATGAGCAAAAAATATCAATAGCTTTATTAGACTAGAGGTGCTTTTTGACATTCTAGTGACTGACCAAGATAGAGCTACTTCTAGGTCATAATGAGATATCACAACACGCTCCAAAGGACGTGAAATGTATGTATGGGAGGGACAAGACAGTGGGGTACGACAGGGACATAACAGTAAAATTGGAAGGAAAGGCAAGAACTCCTTTATATTAAAAATCAGAGAGGGTACCTGTAATCTGTACAAAGAAATTCACTGCACTTTCGCCATTGTCTAATGCTTACCACCCAAATAAAAAGCAATTACATGCATATTTCAATATAATAAGCCATCTCTGATCTCAGCTTCCACAAACCAACTGAAGCATATTTCAACATAATTCTATTTGTAATAAAAGGCAGATGGCAAGGAAACAGATGTCTCTTTTCAACCTGATTTACACATCTGCAGACACGTACAATATGCATGTATTTCCAAAGAACGATGAGCAATTTAAATTAGGAAATGGGAAAACTTTTCTTAAAGGACATGCACAAACAAAAATTGTGACTCAAGAAGAAAACAAGCTGTGACAAAGACACATCTATCATATCAAGCCTATCTGTTTCCAAACCAATATCATATTACAGCACCATGTTAGAGAAACACCAATCATGATAAAAATCAGACAACTTTGGAAACAGTTTCCTGTAAGGAAACATCACTCAAATGTGAGGTGGCTGAGGAATGTGTGACTTTCAGATTTCTCCCCTCTCTGAAAGAAGACCTGAGGTTAGCAATGGTTGTCCTTCAGAAATTCATTTTATAGAAAAGCAAAACATCCCTCAGCAATACAGACCTGGAATTTATTTAAGATCTTCTAAATCTCAGATTGCCATTTTATGCAGACATCAACAATAAGCCATTGACAATCACATCAAATATTTGCACTGGTCTCAGAGAAGTTACGCACAAAAATCAGCAGAGAAATGCGTTACAACAAAGCAGGATGGAAGAGTCTCACTCAAAACCAGAAAATCCTTGCAGAACCTCTTAAACTAAGTGGTGAAGGATAAAGCAGTGCAAGGAGCCAAGATGTTAGCAACCTTCAAAATTAAGTTAGGTTGAGATGGGTCAAAACTACACAAAATCTTCTCCACGCTGAATTGCTAATTTGGGACATTTTGTTGGTTTCTTAGCTTTTGTCCCATTTCTTTTTCTGCAGATAGTTTACTTCAATCTCACAAAGGGTACTACATTGTCAGGCACGGAGAATGAAGTCTTCTCTTTCATCAAAGCATAAAGCCTAACTTAAGTGCCACATCTCTGAGCTGAAGGAACCATATCCTATAATGATATTTAATATACATGTCCATTCCAGTTCTGGGCCTGTTTGCTGAGACTGTAAATAAGGAACTAGATTCACTCAAATGTTCTGATTTTTTCCTACTGCTGAAGGGATGCTGAACAGCCCTAAATCTCAGCTTATGTTTATTTTGCACCACTATAGTGACCAGTGAGACACAGACAGAATGCATTAGTAAACCCGTCCAAGGGGACTAATTATCACCATTGGGAATTGGGCCAGGTTAGCCAGTTTAATTTCATCTAAGCCGTCACATAATAATCAGATGTTAAGTACTTTCAGGAGCTAACCACTTGGTCTAACTGGTGAGCTGGAGGTGAAAAGTTCCATATTCTATTACTAATCCCCTGAGCTATAGAGTTCCCAGCTGGTAGTTCTACAAATGTTCACACAGCTTTTTTTGAAAGGCAGCAAAAGTAGTTTTTGTTGTATGTCCCCCCTCCCCAGCCAAAACAAACCTATCAAAAAACCCCACAGTTGCAAGAACAACTATCTTTTTCTTAAAATAATCTCTCTTAAAGTAGCAGACTGTACACATTTTACAAGAATAAACAAACTTTTCTAATATTTATCCACAAATTAGGAGTCAGAGATCATTAGTGCAAACTTCTGCTGACCGGCAGCATTTATTCTATAAACTTTGGGTATCCTAAGCGATCCATTAGAGAATAACAGATATCTTCAACCCGTCTAATCTCTTCATTGGGCATGTTTTGTTTCCAGGAATGAATGCTACTTGGTGAAATTTCCCCTTCATAAGGAAGATAGAAAAGATTGGTGGAGGTGGCAAATAATATTTGGTTTAACCTAGCAGGAGGAAGAGGAATACCAAGAAAGGCAAAAATTGTTTCAGCTGTCTTCTGAGGAAAGCTCACAATATCTTCAAACTTGACTAGCTGATAATTTCTTGGCAGCAGGACCCCATTTATTCTCAGAGCTGCTGCTGTGTTTGCTAGCCATAAATAAGACAACACAGAAACTGCATTTGAATTAGAATTTGAAAGTTCTTTTCTTAATGATTCATATTCAAAGGCATAGCCTTCATTTAAACTACATTTTTCTTTACCATTCTCCCATTTAAACATTGCAGCCAAGTGTTGTGGAACATTTTTCAAAGAGTAAAGGTTTGGCTTATTTTTGTACAACATTGAATAGATCCATGCCCGTGGGTCCCTCACTACATATAATGCTCTCATTGATGGTCCCAGGATTTCCTGAAAGAAGGGAAGCTTTAATGTCCAGCTCCCACTACTTAAACTAAGTACAGGTCGTGCATTAGGATAATAAGAGAGATGCTTTCTTAGCTCCCTAATATATTCGGCATCTTTATCTTGACTCCCTCTTGCCCTACTTCTTTGCTCTGACAGAGATTCTCTCTTTTTTGATCTTTTCTTTTTGTCTTTGTTTATGGTAAAATGCTGAGCAATTTTACTTCTGCTGGCTTCATATAAACGAATGTTTTGTAAATGTAACTTTGTGCCTCGAACTAAAGACTGAAGCCACCCTTGGATAAGACGAAAATGACCATTCTGGACATCAGAAACCTTCCATTCACATGGATCTACAAATGAATCAATTTCAAATTCAGTCTCAGGAATTTCGAGATAGGGTGTAGGTATCCTGATGTATAAGAAGTCACTGCTATTGAAAAACAGCTGTTTTAAAATTTCTGCACCAGAAGCAGGAAGTGAAGTAATGATAACATCTGGCAAAACAACAGGGTTTCCTTCTAATTGTTTGGCTTTATTGCCTTCATCATGTTCTAGCTTTGTTATGCCACTGCTCCATTTTGCACAGATGGGCTGAGTACACATGCTCCACACATCTACCAATTCAATAAGCCACAGTGTGACAACCAGTATCAGGATCCAACGCAACATTTTACCAAAGGATATGTAAAACCGCCACTGAAAAGCCAGTATGACCAAACTAACACCCAAAATTAACCCTGCAATTATGTTCACTTTGAATCCAAAAGGGAAAACTGCCCTATGACTTTTTATCTGTTTTTTCACAGATTCGGTACCTAGACCAAACTTGGTCACTTCGTTTTCATGAACTACTTTGGCAAAACCACCAAATCCCAAGTAATCGAACCTTGTCTTTAAATTCTGATATTCAGTCACAACAGAAATAGTATTTTCAGTGTTGTTGACACTGAGCGAAATCTGAAATCCAGATTTTGCATTATCTATGAGTCTACAGTTAGAAACATTGACATAAGGGCCATAGAAAAGGTAAACAATCCTTGTAAGTGTGTTTTTCATTGGAAAGGTAACATTTATGAATTGAGTCCATCGCTTTTTGAATTCAGCAGCTTGTTCTGCCTCCTGTATCCTAGCAACAGGACTACTCCCATGATGATCAAACCAAAACATCTTGTAGTGGGCATCCCACACATCCATCATAGCTCCATTGTATTTGTTCTTAAATTTATAGGGTATGTATTTAAAATCAATGTCCAGATTATGAAAAAAGGCACTGACAGAATTAACAGGAGAGTCTTCCTCTTTTTCAATATTGTCTACTACTAACAATGTCTGAGAATTTAAAAGCAGCAAAACACGATACACGCTTTTCAATTTCATTGCTGATGTGTAAGCAGATACCGCCTCACCACTCACAAACATCATGTCTCCAGCCTGTGAGGCTGTTACAATTTCTCCAGTTGAGTCTCCAACCTCATCACCAATCCACTTCAGCCACTGGGCACACTCACCAAGCTGTCCTTCCCAAGGCTGGTTGCACTGGCTTGTAGGAGATGGTGCGAAGACCAAGACATTGTTCAAGTGGCTGAGTTTAGGTCCATAAAGAGCCTCAGATACGAACACCTGTCCATTGGGAGCAAAAGTGAAAGAGTTCTGATCAGGATGTTCATGTCCTGGATTGAAACTTCTCCATCCATCAATCCAGGTATACGGTTGAAAGTGAACAATGTCATAGATAGCACGTCCACCAAGTTTTCCAGACTTGAAGGACACAAAGGTGTTTGTCTGACTGTTTGGCAACCCAGCCCCATAAGTAACAACTCCCCAGTTAGGAAACACATGCATTTTAGCACTACCATAGTCAGCAGGTGGCTGAGGAGTGATTTCAGCAGCATACCATATAAATTCAGTGTGTAGTGTGCTCCACCTCTGTGCAGTGGATGGAACCATTGGCCCATCCTTGGGTCTGTGTTTTCTAATCTGCTGTGCCAACCAGTTGCCAGCTCCGTTCTTCAAGACAAACTTATCCAGGAAAACCAGTTGGCTCTCAGGACCATAAAACCAGTTGTAATTAGAATCTGCTACACCCACAGTCCTCTGAAAGCCTGGTAATAGGGTGGCATAGTAAAACCAAAAGTGCATCTTGAGCCAGTTATTCTCCAAGTTGTTAATACCAAAGTGGCGCTGGGCCAGGAAAACATACTGGGTTACCGACTTGGCTGTGTAACTCCCATAAGCTACTCCCTCATCCAGAGACCCATCTACAACATGACTAAGCAGAAACATTGTTTTCTCCATCACATCAACAACGGCGTGTTTCCAAATATTTGCCTGAGATCCTTTGTCCACCCCTGCAACTAAGGCCCCGATAAGCAAAGCAAGCATATTGGTTGCTTGGTGGTTATGGAGAAGCTGCTTTCCCCAGGAACGAACCTTTGAGTACTCATACATTTCCTTGCTTATGGACCATATCTTCTCCAGGTATTTTTGCCTTCTCTCATTTTCCAGTGAATTATATAAGAAGTCAAAAGCAGTGGCAAATCCTGTCAGGGAGTGACCGAGTGGCACTTCATCTCCAGGTGCATTCTCAACCAACCAGTTTTTGTAGCCAGCCATTCTATCCATATATTCCAGGGCAAAATCAAATGCAGCTTTATCTTCAGGACACAGCAAACAATAAAATGCTAGAGGTGGCAGATTGTTACCATAAATCTCATTCCACTTTGCAGCAAAATCAGCGTGCTTGGGTGGAGGTAGGTAGTATAATGGGTTGGATAGCATAGCTATCACTGCACTTCTGATGGCTCTAAACAGATGTGAATGGCTTGTATGAGCCTTCTGCCTCAGTGCCTGAACATCTTCAGCATCGAAATACAAGCTTGGATGAAGAACTGCTTTTTTCGGCTTCTGCTCAGCACTGAGACCTTCACGTTGCTGTTTTTCATATTGATCTATATTTTCTACAAAAGTCACCCAATCAGAGTAATTGCTTACAGATTCTTCAAAACTGAAGACAGCAAATATTGTTAATGCCAGAAATAAAGTATGCCCCGTGAACATCACAGCCATGATCCATTAGGCAGTACCTCTTCCCCAGGCATGCATTTCCTAACAAAACACAATGTACAGATATCACACTCTGATCCAGTTGAGTATAAAACCAAGCATCTTAAGGCATATTTTTAGCAGAAAAGGCTTAGCATGTACTGTGCATGCTAACAGATACTAAGATTACTTCTAATCTGAGCTACAACATTGAAATAACAAGGCTCTCAAAAAATTAAATCTCAGGTGCCTTGTCTGTTCACACTTGTCTCAAACACAACATTACAGCACAAATACAAAAATTAGGGAAGAAGTAAAATCTCTAAGATATGCATATAAAACACAGGTTGTGACAATGCACAGTAAGAGACCGAAACACCCTCTCTTGGTAACCTGAAAAACTTCACTTGAAAAAAGGCATCAGAGTCGTACATTTACTTTTTTTAAAGAGCTTTCAATCAAGTCAAGTTCCACTTCTAGAGCCGAAAAAAACTCCACAGATCACAAAATGATATAATTTATTCAGAACAATGTGTTATATTGGACGAAATAGAAGATTTACAGCACTCGGAAAACAGACTCCAAAACTGAAGTTGCTTTCTTCAGTCTTCACCTTATCTCAATTTCCATACACTCTCTTTTCATCTTTCTTTTTGGGACTCATGCGAGAGAGGGAAGGAAAAGAATAATAATAATAATAAAAAAATACATCAACATAGATCCTCCATGTGCTCCTCTCGAGGAAACTGCTGTGCTTTTAACAACTATTCCCCTCCGTCTGCAGAAAGTGCATCTGAATTAGTAGTCACAGAGTATCGACATATTTTGAAGTCTTCTTTCATGTTATCTTCAGCCAATGATGCCCAAATTTTGCCTTAATGATTCAGATAATCCTGCTCCTTCCATCACGAAGCAAAAGGAAAACATGCGGAAGAGGCAGACCGCCAAGACTTTTTTGTTAAAAGAGCAGTTTCGGGTTTTCTTCCACTTTGTGTGCTGGTTTTCTGTGGAAAGAGACAAAAAAGTTCTCTGAAGCTGTACAGCTGTGAGAATATACTTTAAAAGCACTGCTCACTTTCTAGGAGAGATGAGTTAATACACCTTTTCTTTTACAGATTTGGCTTTTTTTCTTAATTAGCGTTTTCAAAGTTCCACAAAATTTGTCATTGGCAAAACAGAAATCCAGATTGGCTACTTGAACTCTCTTCAGTTCACCCTGTCCTCCGTCAGGGACTATCTTCCCATTACGCTATGAGGAGCTACCCGAGAAAACAACAAACCTGAAACATGCAACCGAAACTAAATGGAGATCAAATTAAAAAGAATACCAAAATAAAACGACACGTATACTGACCCTCCGCGCCTGATTGCGCCGGCGAAGTGAAGGAGCGCGGCTGGCCCGCTCGGGACGGACCCATGGCGCCCTC